AGCCTCTTACTCTAACTGGATGCTCAGCCCTGAAGGCGCTATGTAGGAGCAGATTCTCTGTGTAGATGCGAGCTTTAGGAAAACATAGGCTAAATCTATCTGGCAACTCCCATCTTGTGCTATTCTTGTGCGCCTCTGTCAGAGACAAGTTAGAACAGCGAGAAATGGGAGGAGCAACTGTTTGTATTTAGCCACAACTGCCACGGGATGCCAAGAACCAAGCGTGACATCTTCCTCTGCCTCTTGGTGGGCTCTGTTTTCAGCCAAGTTGTGAGTATGACTGCTCGAATCTTCTGCCACTACAGCTCTGACTAGGTAGGAGAAGTGGCCTGTTCAAGGAATAGAGCCAACTTAAGACTGCCTGACTCCATCCTGAAGCATAAGGCAGATAGAGTGGAAGCTCGCTCAGCTGAAACTCACAGCAGTTAACACACAAGTGGTTTCTCCATCTCCAGCCCTTCCACTCAACCTCTCAAACTGTCTGACCAACACAAAAGACGAAACCCAAGTAAGGTGGGACAAATCATGTAAATTATGAGATCAATAGAAAAACAGTAATTTTATACCTATGCCTCTATTCTATTAAACCTTACACAGTTGCATTTCCTTACGTGAGCATCATGTTCAAGCTCAGCAACACAGGAAAACGTGCATGTCCCCAGACAGCTCTTAACCCCAGGAGAAGCTGACACCCCACATCGTGGTGCCCGGTCTGGTAGATGGGACTACAAATTAAACAGACTGTTCATTCACAGGATCTGTTCATTTGTTTTTCACTGGCAGGGGTGAGCAATATGTGGACTATCGGTCATCTGTGCTAAGTCAGGTCAAATCTGATAGGATTTCTTCACCTTCACACAATTACATTGCTTCAGAGCTGGGTGTAAGCCAAGTCCTACTTTTCCAGTGATTCCCATCACAAAATTGGTCCCATATTTCCAGACAGAAGTCTCAACTTGGAGCTGAACTTTGGAACGTCCTGGTCTGCGAAGTGTACTCTTAGAGGTTCAAAACTCTGCAGCGGTTTTAAATGCAAAGTTCTGCCCTCTACCATTAATCCTCTCTTCTGCGCTGGTCCCCGTTTCACAAACTGACAGAAATTTTACCACCACTTAGGGTTCTCAATCCACACAAGCCTTTTCCAGGATCTGGCTGAGCCACGGTTCCTAATTTAGCTTCTCGAGTCTGGGTGTTGACATTTCTCAACTGTTAAGCTGCAGTATAAGATTTCACCAGCAGGTGCTCTATCTTCATACAAGGTATGCTCTCCAAATTCCTTGAATCTGAGGCTCCTGGTTACATACTATCATCTGCTGAACACCTAAAGAAAACCCTGTATATTGAACATCTCAAGAACACAATGTAAATATAATATAGAAAACTGAAAAGATCATAAAGCCCAAACCCCTTCTATCTATACATGAGAACCAGCAGAGGCTCAGAAAGACTTCTGAACAGAAAGTAATCTGAACTAACACCTGGCTGCTCTAAAAATCCCCTGACTATGAAAACACTCTGGGAGAAAAGAGTGTGGGAAATTATTTTTCTAGTTTTTAGTCAACAACAACCAAAGAGACAGACAAACATGAAAATACAAAACACAGTGCAGAGAAGTCTACCTACAGGAATTTATAATGACTAGAAGGTAGTACTAACGCTACTTTTCTTTCAGAATAAACACTCTAGCCCCTGAAGCACGTCAGTAAGTCTGACGTGACTATTTCCCTTTTCCGCACCCTTCTCCCAGGGTCTGGGGAGCACCAGTGGGGACACATGGAAACAAGTCGTGCTTGCACTCACATTGCTGATGTGACACAGGACAGTGGCCAAGAGCTGTGGCTGGCAGACCTCAGGAGAAAAATAACAGGTTTCAGGTCCAGTGCCCAGCCCCAGGAAAATGACTTTAAATGGGAAGTTATCATTAAAAACCGCAAATCAGGTTCTGGAATTGGGACCCCTCAAATGGTACGTAAGCATTCGTGATAGAGGACATGTGCACAGTTCTCGGGGAAGAGAGGCCCCATGACCCTGAAAAGGTTAAGAGCCACCACGCCCCACAGAACAAAACTGAGGGCAGGTCACGGCAATGAAGACGTTAAATACGAACTGAGGCAACACCGCTCACTCTCTCTTCCCGAGCAGTGGCGCACTGACGGAGTGATCTATTAAAAAGGAGCAAAAGCCAGACAGCTGATCCTGGAACAGCATGAGAAAGAGGGAGGGTTTGGTGCCGAGGTGAGAAAACCTGACCTACAAAATAATGGCAGTACAATGCTAACATCTGTGTTTACGCTGGATCGTTATCGAAGATTCCACGAGCAATGAGAACGTTCTACAACCAGAAAAGCAGGTGGTCTCAAACTCTAATTTTTAAAAAGATAACTTTTGCTTGAGTCCGTTTTTCTTGGTCAGGAACGCTCGTGCAAAGCCCTTCCCCTCCCCGGCCTGGACCCTCCTCGATGCCACGGCGGCTCCACCCCATCAGGCTGTCTGTGGTCCTACTCTGGCCCGCACTTAAATTAAACCACTGCCTAGGAAATTTCCTACAAAATCTCATTAGGATGTATTTTCAGTTTGTAATGGTTCCCTTCTACTAATGTGGAGTGTCCCCGTTCTTCTGAAAAAGAAGTACACCTGGACGGGCCACGATGTTGGGGTAACAGTGTTTACTACGGGCCAAGCCGGAGCGGGGGCCCCCAGGCACACACAGGGGCAGGTACGGCCCCAGGAGAAACCAGGCTGTTTTCCTACAATGCCAACCTGACTTGATAGTATGTCACTGAACATGGTTTTCAAACTAGAGCAAACATACACATTTGCACAAACTGTTGATATTTTTAAATGTGAAACTGAAGCCAACAACAATGACAAAAGCATGAGACTCTGAAGCAATTCTGAGCCTGTAATGGGCCACTCTGGGTGGAGAGCCTCGTCTTGCAGGAATAAGCTTCACTGTCCTTGGCAGCGAGGGTGTTCAGTAGGGAAGGTTAAGACACACTAATGTAAGTCCCTGCAGGCACAGGGGGAGAAGCGACATAAAACAATAAAAAAATAAAACAACTGAGTCACACGGCCTGAAGGAACGAGCCACAGAACGGTGACACAAATTGAGAACTCCTACAGCAAATACTGCTGTCATCAAGGGCCACACATGTGTCAACTCATTTGGTCAGCTCTGCAACCCCGGAGTCGGGCACCGTATTGGCCCATTGTATAGATAAGGAAACAGAAGCACAGAGACACGCCCCGAAGAGCGCACAGTCAGGGTGCTGCAGGGATTCGGACCCCGGCAGGCCAGCTCCGGAGCCCACCGCCTCAGTGACATTGCACCCGTTGCGATGGCTTCAACCGAGGTGTCCTCCATGTTCCCAGACGAAACTGCACCCCTAATGGCCACAGGTGCCGAGGCCCAGCACCTCAGTAGGTGCTCTGACGAACAGCCCAAGTTGCGCTGACAAGAGTTACACTGGAAAATGGGGCATATGTTTTTATCCTACAGATAAGGAAACCAATCAGAGGGGTAAAGCACCTAGAGCTGACCCCCAAATGATGCAGGGGGTGCGGTGCTGACCCCCACCCAGTCAAAAATCTACGCGTAACTTCTGACTCCCCAAAATCTTAACTACCAAAGCCTACTGTTGACGGGAAGTAATACTGATAACATAAACAGTTGATTTATGTATGTTATACATACTATATTCTATATTCTCACAATAAAGAGAGAGAAAAAATGTTATCAAGAGAATCGTAAGAGTAAATACATTTACAACATTGCACTGTACCTATCGAAAATGACCGTGTTATGAGTGGACCCATACCACTTAAACCCGTGTTAAGGGTCAACTGTAATTTCAAATTATATTTAAATAGCATGTGAGATATGGAATCTGGGTTTCAACTCGGGTTCATCTCACTACGAAGCTTGAGTTCCTTCTGTTCAGTCAGGCCCTAGGAATCCAACCAGTCAGGAATGATGGTGATCTTTGGCATCATGTTGGTACCCGAGACACTTTGTTCTATGTATAATCACAAAGCAAGATTTCTCAACCTTAGCACTACTGACATTTTGGGTTGGAAAATTCGTTTGGGGGCTGCCCTGTACATCGTAGGAAGTTTAGCAGCATCCCCACTGCCACGTATCAGGCGCAGCAGCCCTGGAGCTAATTCTTGAGCAACTGAGAAAGGGGAGAACTGCCAAAACACAGAAAAGGATGTAAGGAATTACCAGATGTAATTCAAATGTTCACAACCTTACATAAGTTTTTATAGGACACTTCCACTTAGAACTAATTAAAATTAATATAATACACAGCACACTCTGAAAGACACAAAGATTCTAAGCATTCTAAGTTATTAAATTAACTGTCACTATAATTCAGTAAAATACATGTCAATATATGAAGAACCCAGAAAGGGCCTTTCACTTTCTTGGAAAATTGATACACAGAGTACCTTTTTCTATTAGATACATTTTATAGCTTCTAAAGTTGTATTGTACTGTAATCTTTCCTTTTCAGAAAAGCTCAAAGACTTTCCTAACTTGGGAACAAGGGCTGCTTCTATTAACACGGGAAGTCAGGTATGTTCAAATCACACTTCAGGGATATTTCTGTACAAAAATAGACAGTGGACTAGAATCAGAATGGCTTTTACCTTAAAAAGCATAATGTTTAAACATGTGTAATAAAATGTGAGGTAGAACGTTTATGCCATTGATTTCCCCTTCTTCCGCACTCTGTTAAACGTGCATTTAAACAGTAACCAGGGGCACCTGAGTGGCTCAGTCATTAAGCGTCTGCCTTCAACTCAGGTCATGATCCCAGGGTCCTAGGATCGAGCCCCGCATGGGGCTCCCTGCTCGGTGGGAAGTCGGCTTCTCCCTCTCCCACTCCGCCTGCTTGTGTTCCCTCTCTCGCTGTCACTGTCTCTCTCTGTCAAATAAATAAATAAAAATCTTAAAAAAAAATAAAAATAAAAATAAACAGCAACCAGCCACTCACCTGGATGACTTTATAGAAGTAGGCATACTGCCGAGCCGTGTTCTTGTATTGGCTGAAGACGTCATGGATAGCTTGTGTGGACTGAAGGTCCCGAACTTCATCCTCCTCAAAGTAGAGAGGAGTGTCATATTCGCTGGGGAGGGTCTGAATATAGGGCTGCCAGAAAGAGTTAGGGTCAGCTCGCTCACACAGCAGGTGAAAGGCCAGTGTGATATTTCCCATAGCTTGAAGAATCCGGTCTTGAGAATATAAGGGCCCTGAATCAACCCAGAAGTTAACAGCGTTAAGTTCCAAAAAGCGACTTAAAAAGTATTCATTCAAAATATATATTAAAGTTACAGAAATAACTGGAAAGTTTTGTAATATTTAGAGTAACATGCACCTTTCTTCTGACACTCTTCTACTATGTCAGATTACAAGCATGCAAAACAATGTGAATTTGGGGGAACATTTCACTAGTTTGAGGAAATATCCAAATATGGTCCTTAGCACCACAAAATAAAATTTCATATTTTTATCACTTGCACTTTGCCTTGAAGAGTCAGAAATTATTCTCACCCAACACTGAATTTTTAGCAGATTCGACAGTCATTAGTAATTTTCGTGGAACCCATAAAAACAATTCTTCTGCCTAGGAGGAAAAAAATAAGAAAATCATATAATCATTAAAACATGTGACAATCTTCAGCCCCTTCATCTGTGGTCAGAAAGCCAATCACACAACACACATGATATACTGTTTAAGGTTACAAGTTAGCACTTCATTTCTAACTATCAAATGTATTTTTTTTTTTTAAGATTTTATTTATTAGAGATAGCAAGAGACAGAAAGAGAGAGAGCACAAGCAGGGAGGAGGGGCAGAGAGAGAGGAAGAAGCAGGCTCTCCACTGATGCGGGGCTCGATCCCAGGACACTGGGATCACAACCCGAGCCGAAGGCAGATGCTTAACGACTGAGCCACCCAGGAGCCCCGAAATGTATTTTTAAATGTAAATATTTGTGGTATACTTAGATGAGTACAAGCAGGGTTTAAAATCCTATTTCCAATAGAAAAAGTAACCATACACACTGAGAAAACAGATGAAAAAAAAATGGGACTTTCAACTTTAATCTGAAGTAAACATAGCCATTTGGAGTGGAGCACAAAACTATTAATTCTTTGCTGCACTTAAGTTCTTCAGTTCAAAAAGCAAAACAAAACACAATTTCTATCTCCAATAAAAACTTGAACCTGTCGATGTAAACCGCTCTCGCTGCTGTATTTTTGAAGCCAGAGGAACATTCCTTTCTCAACATGATTGTCTTTAAGGCACAACAGTTACCAGCAAAAGCACAAGTCCCTAGGACATATTTTGGTTTACGGAGGTTTTTCCCAAAAACATTATCTCATTTTTTGCCAACATGAGAGGTTTCTTTTTGGTATGTGCTGTATATGTTCTATACTGTTTAAAACATGCAAAGAGTAGTGCCCTGGCTGTGGTGACGATACGGGTGTGTGCGCACGTCCAACGCATCACAATGTCAACACTGCATATGTGCAGTTTTTTTTTATCAATTATACCTCAATAAAGCTTAAAAAATGCACACGGTGAAGACAGACCACAGTTAAGATAATTGGGGCAACATCCACATGAATGATGGTTCTCTGATACATCAGAAGAATGTGTGACATCCTGGTTACTCTTGCCTTCTGCCAATGTCTACCATTTGGATTCTGTTTATGTGCGTCTCTTCTCCTACTATATATAGATGATAAACATCATGAAGGAAGAAGGCTGGTATAATAATGAGCAAGGTACTATTCATATACTAGACATTTAATAGCTATCTAATAAACCGGTATGTGGTTTATCAACTTATCAATGAAAGGTTAACTACAACTTGACCAAAAACGTTGCCTGAGGTTTGAGGGGGCCCAAATAAATAACACTCATTTCCTCCATCCAAGTTCTGAACCCACTGAGAGAGACACAAGACTACAACAGATGGTCACCCAAAATATCACCTACTGAATCCCAGAATTAGACCGACTCCCCCACCTAGTTACAGGGAGAACTGGAGCCCCACGGGCCTCCCCACGTGTGGCCTGCCCTGTAAAGCACACAGAGCGGAGAGAGCGCAATGGATGCATATGGGCAACCAGCTCCCACCAAGAAACAGGCCAAGACCAGTTCCTTCTTCCCAAATCTTCAAACAGATTAGGTTACGCCTCCTCTCTAAGAAAGGCACGAGTGAGGGGCAGAGAGAGGCTGGGAATGTCAGGGTACTGCTGCTCCCTTCAGCTGGAAGGAAGGACCCAGAGCAGAGGAAAAGCATTTGTCCCTTAGCAGGTGTATACTGCTCTTCTTTCCCTTTCAGCTCCGGTGGTACAGTATCAGTAGGTGGCACTGCCAACCACTCAGTTCCCCCTCCAGAAAACAAGTAAGCACCCTGGACACTGCCCATCCTCCACCCCAATCCACCCACCTGCACATCGACTCTATCACAGGTCCTGCGTGCTCCCCCCTCCTAACCGCCTGAGCCCACATCCTTCTCTTGAAGTCTCAGAATCCTTTGAGGCATGTTCTGTGGTCTCCTAACAGAGGCTCTGAAACATGAACTGACTTGCCCCAGGTCACTGGTTAGCAGCATGGCTCCCAGAGGACAGACTGGAAGGGGCTGCCTAGAACACTGATAAGGCTCTTCCGGGCCCCTGGTCAGCCCGGAGACCTCGCAGCAGGAAGCAGAGTGCTGACGGCGCACTGCCCGCTTGCCCATGAGTCAGAATCAGCCCAGACACCCGTCTCCCCGTCCTGTGCCCGCCCCGCAGCACAATCCAAGCACGCCGAGGGCTCCCAGAGCAAGCGATCAAAACTCACCTTGATGTCTCTCGTGGCTCTCAAACCAAAGCCCTCTTCTTTGAAGTTGACCATTTCAAAACCCTCAACAGAGGCTCCATTTTCAGAGGCCCACTTCATTAGGTCAGGGAAGTAATCTTCTCTTTTTCCATCAAAAGTAACAGACAGACCTGTTTCAATCCATGTGTCAGAAAACAAGAGCTATATTTAGGACCCATATCATTCTTTCTGCTCTCAGAAACTAAAAAACACACACTGGAAATAGTGATAACGCTCCAATCTTGAAATCAAAACTCATCACCAGGTAACAAGACTTACGGGCGTGACCACTGTGTAATGTATGCAATATTGACTTCCTGTGTTATACACCTGAAACTAATACAATACTGTATGGCAGTTAGGCTTTAATCTTAAAAAAAAATCTTAAAAAGAAAAGCTAAAAAAATAAACTGGTTTAAAAATTGTTTAAATAAATTGGAAAGGACTGAAATCATACAATGTTCTCTGATTAAAACATAATCAAATTAGAACAAAAGAAAAAAATCTTGAAAATTCCCAAATATTTGGAATTAAGCAGAACACTTCTAAATAACCCATGGACAAAAGGAGAAATCACAAGGAAAGAAAAACAAAACAACAACAAAAAAACGAATCACAGAACAGTCACAGTACATATCCTAACTAGCGGCAGGAAAGGCGAAGTACAATCCTCAACCCTCGTCGGCTGCGGAGAAGCATTTGCTGAGCCCAGGACATAGGGCTACTGACTACTGGGCTCTGTGAGGCGATGCAGTAGAAAGGGGAGGGCTTCACCACCTCACATAACAGCAGCCCCCCCGCCCCCGCCATTAAGTCCAGCGTGCCGTGTCTCATAGGCAGCTTTGCTTCAACAAAATTCCCAGAACACAGAAATCAGTAGCTGACATGCGCACAGGAGGTGTGTGTAAGGATGAGCACTACAGGCTTGATTCTAAGGGCACAAAACTGGACAGCTCTGCAACTGAATTCTGTTGAACAGTTTGAATGAGTTGGATCATATGTATCTACAAAGAAAACAAAATAGAACACCGTGGGGTTTTTTGGGGTTTTTTTTTTTTTTAAGATTTTATTTATTTATTTATTTGAGAGAGAGAGAGAGAGAGAGAGAAACAGCATGAGAGGGGACAGGGTCAGAGGGAGAAGCAGGCTCCCCGCCGAGCCAGGAGCCCGATGTGGGACTCGATCCCAGGACTCCGGGATCATGACCTGAGCCGAAGGCAGTCGCTTAACCAGCTGAGCCACCCAGGCGCCCAGAACACCGTGTTTTTAAAACTTCAAGTGTTCTGGGGCGCCTGGGTGGCTCAGCTGGTTAAGCGTCTGACTCTTGGTTTCAGCTCAGGTCATGATCTCGAGGTCCTGAGATGGAGCCCCATTTCGGGCTCTGAGTTCAGCAGGAAGTCTGCTGGAGATGCTCTCCCTCTGCCCCTCCCCTCTCTCACATGCACGCGTGTGCTTTCTCTCTCAAGTAATAAATAAATCTTTAAAAATTCAAGTGCTCTGGGGCGCCTGGGTGGCTCAGTCGGTTAAGCGACTGCCTTCGGCTCAGGTCATGATCCTGGAGTCCCGGGATCGAGTCCCACATCGGGCTCCCTGCTCGGCGGGGAGTCTACTTCTCCCTCTGACCCTCCTCCCTCTCATGCTCTCTGTCTCTCATTCTCTCTCTCACAAATAAATAAAATCTTAAAAAAAATTTTAAAAAAAAATAAATAAATAAAAATAAATAAATAAATAAAAATTCAAGTGCTCTGATACCATTTATGCAAAATTTTAAAATACCACTTGCTTATGGGGTTATACAAGAGGTAGAAAACGGTCAAGACAAACTCCCAAGGGGGCCAAAAAAGGGACTGGGATAGAAGCATGGGGCTTCAGCTACATCTGCAACATGTATTTCTTAAAAACAAATAATGAAAATAAAACAAAGGATGGAGGGAGGGACAGGGATCAGACCAGCAGGTGGGAAGGAGGGAGAACTTGATCGGTGGGACTGATTCAGTTTGGGTAGGAGATTCTTAGGCGTTGTGTTATTTGAAAAGCCATGCAGAGGAAAAACCAAGATTTATTTGACAAATAAAAGGAGAGGAACAGGAACTTCACAAATGTGAGGAGCAGGGTGTGGAGCCCAGCCCAGGTGCCTGCGGCCACGCCAACACACCATCAGCGGTCACCTGGATCTCTGCAGCAGGACGGCCCGGCACAGGGCTGTGCCACACTGCATACGCAGAAAGCTGATTTTGTTAGGGACATTCTGAGACAGAAGTCACTCTTTGCTGAGAATTCAGGAATGCTCTAACCTTAGTGTGAGTTGTAGTTAGCCGTCTCTGCTAACAACAAACGCTCGGGACATACAAACACTGTCCCGCTATAGATCTGGTGAGCCAGGATTGGCAGGTCTACCATTTAGAGCAAAGAACCACATTATAAAGGAACCTGTCACCATCTGGGGTTCGAGACCATCTAAGCTAAAGACTGCATGTTTCTAGAAGTACATGGGAGCGCAATAAAACCTCAGAGAGCAAATAAAAAAACAAACCCTCTTCTGACTTTCATGGCAGTAAATAAAAATGGAGTCTAAGAAGGTTCTTCTGACCCTTTTAAATGCAGGCTCCTTATTATGTTTTCTCCTTCCACCTTCCATGTGGCCCTGCATACCAATCTTTATTTTTTGTGCTTTACAGAACAAAAACAATAGGTATATTGAATAGGCTTTTTCAAGCTGACACTTGGCCCCGTCGCTGGCCTGGCTGAGAATCATTAAGACGCCTACTGAATACACCCTGTAAAAACAGAGCTTCAGAAATAGAACTACATCTCTTACTTAACCAAGATAGGTTTGAGTTCATCGTAAATCTTGTGAAGACATTAATCTATTAGTGTATATTTATTTGTGTGTTGACCACTCATGGCATTATGTACTGACCTCAAACCCTCAAGGAAACACAATGTGGAAAAACAGATCTAAATACATATTTTGTAAAAAATAAATAAATGTGTCATTTTATTTATTTTTAAAGATTTAATTTATTTGAGAGAGAAAGAGAACGAGTGGTGGGGAAGGATAGAGGGAGAGAGAGAAGCAGACTCCCTGCTGAGCAGGAAGCCCAACATGGGGCTCGATCCCAGGACCCCAAGATCATGACCTGAGCTGAAGGCAGATGCTTAACCGACTGAGCCACCCAGGCGCCCCAAAAGTTGTGTCATTTTAGTCCCTAGATACAAACACTTTTCCCCTACTACTCAACATTCTTACCCCTCCCAAAGCAGGTAGCAGCACCTCAGAAATGGGAGAGATCCTTGGACAGCTTCCCAGCACATCTCTCCCAAATTCCGAGCCCCTTCCACTGTGACCTTCCACAGGCAGGAATGACACCAAGACTTTCACATAACCTCAAAACATTTCTGACTTGTGCCAAGTCTCTAAAGGGTTTTATTAAAATAAGATTATTATTCTAGAAAATGTACCTTTTTGTTTTTTTCGTATTTTCTCGACTAGAGACCGGATCTGCACATACTCTTCCCATTCCTTTCCGGGGCCAGGTGTGGGACTACTGCATTCTGTAACACAAAAGCCATGGCACTCAAATACTGCTTGCTTTCAACTCAACCAGCTAGTCTCCAGCACAGAGAGGACTGGGGTTTTGTTACCACTGCTGGTTTACTTTTAAAGGACAAAGATACCACAGCCATGCTGATAAATGTGGGAAGTATAAACCAGGTATACTTTTCAAAGCATATACACCCTCCGAACCCATCCACATGCCCCTTACTAAACTGGGACCCCCGTACCTAAGTGTGAGCACTGAGCTTGCAACTCTCTCACACCTGCTGTTCAGAAATTCTCCTCAGAATATACTTGACCGTGGGAAAATCTAAAAAGCTAGGCTAAAAATGCAAAACATTTCCCTGAAAACTCTTCTAGATGGATTTTTAAAAAAGGTCATCTTAAAAGTCAACATTTCTTTCTAGTTAAATCCTAGAACAATGGCTCTCTAAAGAAACCAGTTAAATTGGACATAAGAACAATTACTCAACAGACATTGCACATCCATGTGTAAGGCTCTATATTAAGTACTCTGGGGGAGTCAAAAAATGAGATGGCACAGTCACTGCTCAAAAGGAAGCTGAGACTCTGCTGTAGGGCCAGAAGCAAAGACCAGCACTCGAGACTGGTGCTGGTGGTTCTGGAAAGCTGTGCCCTGGGCACCCGGCCTATCAGCAAGCTCTTTCCTTTTTCAACAACTGTATGAGTTTAAAGAGAGAGCCTTCTTCCCACGGCCACCTTTGTTCTCTGAGGAAAAGAGTGTATGTGGTAAATAACACTAACAAGTCATAACGCATGGGCTGACTCATGACTATTAAGGTTAACCAGTCATTCTTCCATCAACAAGTCCTGACTGAGGCCCTGGAATACAAGAAGACAGAGCCTGTCCTCAAGCTGCCTGCAGTCCAGTGCGGGACAGAGGTGGTAAGCGGTCAGTACCTCAGTGCTCTATGGGGGGCCCACACCGCTCTGAGGGCCACAGGGGTCATAGGAGTCCACAGGAGCCCTTGGGGAGGGACCGGACCCCGACTTGGTTGCTGCCTGCTTCTGGCAGGAAGAGAAAGCTAAAATTTTATGTGGGGTTTAGCCTGTCACATAATCTGAACAGAAGGGGCAAAGAAAACGAGACAATGGAGTGAGTTAGTACAGTGACTACAGCTAAGTTTGACACCACCATAGCACCAATTTAAATTCACAAGTAAGAAAAGAAGTTACCAATTTGCACTAATGTATTAAAGCAAGTACAGGCACTTAATAGATACTTAACTTCCTTGAACCAAGAAATTGGAAAACGACTACTGAATCACTAAAACGAAAGGGGAGCCACTCTAACGAGGGGGCAGAGTTCCAAAGGTCTGCTCTGAGAGGCCTGCCGTGCCCACCTTGGGCCTGACGGCCACGGCGCACCTTTATGCGCCACGCCTCGCACGGCCCTCCCCTTCCCCGGCAGGCTGTACGTACCGCTGTGAACACCAGGACTCAGAGGGGTTGCACCATCTGCCCCAGGTAGTCGAGTAGGTCCCTGCCCACTGGAGCCCAGGGAAGCCCCTGTTCTGGGCGGTTCGCGGTTTCATCCAGCCCTCGTTCATCACTACCCACGACTGACATTCCCAGCTTTATGGAAGGGGGAAACGGCGGGTCAGAGAGGTTCTGACACTTGCCCAGGTCACGTGGCTAAAATGTTGGGATTTGTCCCACCTCCTGCCTCGCCGGGCCAGAGGCTGTCCTGCGCAGCCCGAGGATGCGAAGGCATGAGGCCACAAAGCCCCAGGGGGAGGCGGGAAGCCCAGGGCGCAACTTACTCTGCAGCAGCTCACTAGTCAGGTTCAAGGTTTCCTTCGGCGACACACTTGCCGCAGCACCAGTGCCTGATTTCTGCGTTTTCACTCGACTCTTCTTACCCATTTTCCAACTATAGAGAAGAGAGCGAAAAGACAAAGAGTGTTACATTTCCAAAGAATCAAATCAAGCAATAAAATGTGGCACAGCAGTGGCTTAGCCTCAAGATGCTAGCATCTTACCTCATGAGTGCCATATTCTGAAGTTTCCTTCCAGAAAAAGAAATGTGTACCAAATATTAGTATTTGGAGGCTCTCCAAAGGAAAAAAAAATCGCTTTGTAGTCTCTGGAAGAAAAGTTCATTCCTTTTCACCTACAAAAACTACAGTAGAGGCAAATTTTACTCTGGAATGGTGTCAAGTTACACAGATTTTACTGTGTATACTAAAATGCTTATTCCGTGACACTACACAGACAAAGATTTTGTATACACACGTGTATCACAAACTGCCATATGGGCACAAAAACCTCTATCTTCTCCCCCCACTTTGCTTTGGAAGAATCATCTCCCGTGAAGAGCAACTGTGCCACAAGCAGCAAACTAGGCTCTCGGGACAAATGCTGCGGACATGTGGGAGCTCAAAGACGCCTCAGAGAGCTACTCTACCTCTGCGGGTTTGTTTCACTGGAAAACTCAAGGTGCCTTGCCCAGGGTCTCACGGGAAGGTGATGGCAGATCCTACACGGGAACAAGGTCTCCCAGCACCTCCCAACGCGGCACCTTGACCACCCACGAGCCTTGGGTGAGAAGTGACCAAAATATTGTATAAGCAGATGAGGCAGTGGGACGTAAATACACCAACAGCACGCTGGGCACAGGCTCTGTGAGACGACTCATCTGAAAACGCTTCAGCACAATGATCTCAAGACGCGCCTTGAGGAAAGGAAGGGATCAGGATGTGTGAAGAAAGGGTAGGGAGATTCACAGGCAAGGAAAGGAACGGGGGAGGCACGAGGGTGCCCCAGGGGGAACCCCCCAGGAGGAAAGATGCCTGGCTCAAGAGGTGGAGAGGTGGCCAGGGAGCAGTGGGGGGCTGAGAGTCCGCCCCCTGCAGGAGGGCTACTAAGGCTGCCTGAGGAGCCTGGCCCGCGATCCTCCTCCAGAGAGAAACACCTTAGGACGACAGCCCAGCAAGATGGACAATACCCAGCCAGGAAGCTACCGCAGCAACCCACACGCTGATTAATAACCAACACCACGATGCCTCTCCGTGGAGCCCTTACAAGTTACATGTCACCTCAAAGGGGAACCAGAAGGGATGGGATAAAAGCTTTGAAAGACATACTCTCCCATTATATAGATGATCCCTGACTGCATCGGAAGTGAGGGCATGGGCCCGTGTGCTAACATAATAGAAAACCGCCTACCTCAAAGGGCCAGGATAGGTTTCTTCTGTCTCTAAGGTGTAGAATGTAACATGTAACTTTATGTATCTAACAAACCTTCTAAAACAGTGTGCGATACTCAGTGCACATCATCCCGGAATCAAAGGGAACAGGTAAGAGAGTATCTACAACATCTGCAGCAAGGAATTAGTTGCTCTGAGATCAGAAGCAGAAAAAAAATAAATAAATGGGGGTGAGGGCAGAAGGAGGAAGAGCTTACGCAGCTTTTTCTGAAGTGAAGGACTAGCCTCTTAAAAGAGAAGATCGCTCCCCACGTGCACTTGCTCGTGGCCAAGAGTGAAGGCACAGCCTGATCGGAGCACCAGCTGCTCTTCTCGGCATCTCGGGCTCTCTGCGGAGAACCACTGAACCTGACCCCAAAATAACCAAAACTACCCATAAGTCTAGAAAGAAACACTTTTTTTAGGGTGATTTTTTTTTTAATTCTTTTCTTTCTTTCTTTGGAAGGGTAGCTGACATACAATATTGTATTAGTTTCAGGTGTGCAACATAGTGATTCAACATTTGTATACACTGCAAAGTGATCACAAGTCTACCTGCCGTCTGTCACCACGCCAAGTTGTTACAGTATTATTAACTATATTCCCTCGGCTATACATTACATCTCTGTGACTTATTTTATAACTGGAAGTTTGTACCTTTTAATCCCCTTCCTCTATTTTACCCATCCCCAGATCCCCCTTTGAAAAGGACTTTAATTACACTTCCAAATACAGCTCTGCAGGAAGAACCACAGAAACCGGCCACTGTCGGTGATGGGCTTGCTTGGCCTCTCCCTTTGGCCCTGCCTGTAAGTCTTCTGCGTATCAGGCTCCAAACAACTTGAAAACATCACTTTGATGAGGCATTCCAGGACCCTCGCCTTCTCCTAGCAGGCCTAGGGAAAGTGAGCCCGAGACAGCCATGTTCTCCTACACCGGCCCCCACAGTGTGGAGACTCACTACCAAACAGGCTTCTTCACTCTGTCCGCAGTCCCCTACCTCCCCCCAGGTTTCCCTGCAGGGATTCCCGGATTGCCATCACTCCCAGCAGGTAGATACCTGTCTTGAGATAATGATCATCAATTAAAACAGCAACAGTGACCCTGTATGCATGCAGTGCTTATGCCCTGCCAGGTGCTGGGCTAAGATAACCTCCTCATTTGATCTTCCTAGACCCTCTATCAGTAGATCATAGCCTCATCTTTTTTTTTAAGATTTATGTATTTATTTGAGAGAGAGCGCGCATGCACGCGTGAATGGGGGGGGGGGGGCGGGCAGAAGGAGAGAATCCCAAGCAGACTCTACCCTGAGTGCAGAGCCTGATGTGGGGTTTGGTCCCACGACCCTAAGATCATGACCTGAGTCAAATGCCAAAAGAGTCGGATGCTCAACCGACTGAGCCACCCAGGCGCCCCAGATCATATCCTCATCTTTTAGATGGCATTCTCAGAAAGGTGAAGTCCTTCAGCTTTGTCCAAGGTCACACATCAGGTAAGAAATGAAGCTAGAATTGGAACTCAGATCTCTGTGACTCTAAAGTTTGGCCACTGCCCTACTGCCTCTGTTTAAATGCAGAGCAAAAGCACAGGGCACTGCAGGGGGCAGGAGGTCTAGAAGGTCTTCCAGACATGACACCCAACAACACCTTGCCAAGGGCCCACACCCCTGGATGTGTCCAACTGCCCGCCATCTGCTCCTGCCCGCCTCCTGAATTCATCTCTCGCTTACACTGTAACACTAGCCTCTTACAGGTCTCTGCAGCCAAGCCCATCGCTACCACTTACATCTGCCCCACGTTGCCATCCCTGCCCTAGCACTTCGGGCTCCACCACCACCAATGGCGCCCCAGTCCCTCATACAGGTGTTGTCTCGTGCCTCCGTGCCGTCCCTCCATCTGTCCCACCCCACCCCTTACCTGCAATACTTGAGTCACTTGTTCAGTAGCCTGCTTTCTCTAAAAGCCCTGCTGGGTATCACCTCTTCCTGATCCTCCTAGCTGTAATATGCCCTCCTCTATACCACTTCTTATACCACTGGATCTCACTGCACTGCGAGACTTGCCCACACACAGGCTTTCCTCCTGGATAACAGGCTCCTTGAGGCACCCTGTCCTGTTTCTATTTGTGTCCCCAACTTCCAGCCCAGAACCCAGCACACAGCAGGCTCTCTGCATAGGGTGCTCATGAGCTCCCAGGGAAAAGCAGTGCCTCCTTTGGGCAGTTCTTAGGTCAAAATCTGTATTGCTGAAGCTCCTACCCAAGTTTCAGTCTCCTTGGAACTTAAGAAAATGTGTAATTCCTGCCGCAGGTGAGAGGCCATTAAAGATCTGGTCACGGTGATTTGAAAACACAACAGATTCCCCTGGCAGTAATACTCTGCCGTTGAATACTTAAAACTCAATTGTTCTCAAGATTTCTTTTCCTTAAGCCAGAAAACTGCTGGCTTTTAAGAAATGACTACTAGGCATAGAAATACAATGCAGGCCAAATTTCCAAACACATCCGTCAATTAGCACTGGGTAGAGTAGGTACATGGAGCATAACCTTCAAAGGCCGGAGGAGTGTTTATAGAGACGGTGACTGAAGCCACACCCAGTTAGACCCTCACCTCCAGCTCCTTCTACCCTTCCAGCTTCTTTTTCCCCTGCCTCCAATCTCCTTCCCACCACACGTGGACAGTTAGCCTTCATAAATGGAGGTATAAAGTGCACCGCTTGCTAAGTGCTCAGGCAGCACTTCCAGTAAGGTAGTAGCACTCACGGAGCCTCCCGGGCCCCTTCCCAGTCACAGCCATCCCCAGCAAGGGACTGTCACGTTGATTCCAGTACCATCACTTAGTTTGTTCTGTTCCTGAACTTCATATCACAGACATGTAGGCTTCTTTTGCTCAGCACAAGGTCTTGGCACAGCTCACAGGGTGGTCCCACCTCCCCAGCACAGCCCTCGAGGTCCTTCACGCCCCACCCCACTTTACTCGCCTGCCTTCACTCTACCCATCACCCCTTTACATGGCACACTCCAGGGATCTGCTCGCTCTCCCCACTTTCTGGAAAGAAGCTATCCTCCACTACCCCCTTTGTCTTCTCCTGACAAAATGTTTCACAAACGTAAAGACGCAGCCAAAACATCCCCAATGTCCTTGAGGAAATTCTAGTCTCCTCTATTCATTTCATAGACTGAACCCATGAAAGTCAGTAAGAACAAGCCAAGTTCAAGGTGATTAATAGATGCTAAAGTCTTGGCTTACCTTGAGATTCAGTCTTTTGCAACTCTCTTTGGACTGTTTCCCTCCCACAGGGATATAGACCCTACTGGAGAGAAAGCAGCTTGCTTGGGAAAGGCAGTAAGAATCTTACACAGAGACGTTAACTCACTTCATCTTAATTAAGGTGAGGGGGTTGTCTGTCCTTGTCCCCAATGAACATACCTCCCTAGGTACAGGATCACAGGTCCAGGCCAGGTCTTAATCTGTCCTCCCAGAAACCGGGTTTGCACTGACCCCCTCCTGGAAAGCTGCCCAGCTGCCCTGGACTTGTTCTGCCTGGGAGTCCCCACCAAGCTCGGGCCCCTGTGCACTGAATCGGAGGTAGTCATGGGCTTATCGCCCAGCCTTCAGTTTGAATGAACTCAGGATTCCAAAGGGTAGTGCTCTCTGTACCCAGTTCTACAGCCCAGCAGCCAATCT